AGCAGAGTTTTAAGAAAAAGTAAAAGTGCCCCGGCCAGGACAGTCTCCACCGCTCTCAGCTCAGATCTGTTTGCAGGAAGATGGGATGCATTGATCTACAACAGCATGGAGATCACACTCCCACAAGCCTGCCAAAGGTGGCTTCTTACCCTCTCATTTTCTTGCTGCTGCCAGCCATGGCTGCTGTCTCCTAGCAGCTTCCGTTACTCGGCTATGTTTTAAAACTGAAACTTGAGCAAAGGAAGGAAGCACCAAACCAGCCAATGACTGTAGATTCAGCCCTCTTCCCATAGAGACATCTGAGACAGAAGCATTCCTCCCGTGAGCTATTCCTCTACCACAGTGATTTTCAACCAGGGTACCGATGTCTTTGGATCCTTTCAAAGGTGCTGTGGGCTGCTGCACAGTTAGGTGTGCAAACATGATTCCCTAGATCATATAAACATAGAAAATGAGGGTTGGAAGGGACCTCAGGAGGTCATCTAATCCAACCCCCTGCTCAAAGCAGGACCATCCCCAATTAGATCAAGATAAATCTAGAGACTTTCATTCAATTTCAAATACCCATTCTGCCCTGCTGGGCTATCCTGAGTTCTTTGCAGCATTGGAATTGCTTTCATGTTTTTCTGTAGTGAAAAAAAAGATCAAAATTAAGAGCTAGCATTTTCCAAGCAGTGCTTTGAATCTAACAAGGGATGACCTGACTCCAACCAGGGGTTTCGAGTATAGAAGGATGGAAAGCCACTACTGTAATGCTACACTTGTGCCTTGCCTTTCTGCAGCTGGGGTGTTGGTGATAACCAGGTTGGTCTGAGGACATAGGCAGACAAGGGACTTTGGATAAATGCAATATCTTTTATTAGACCAACAGTTGGAGATCCCTTCCAGATGTTGTGAAAGAGTAACTGCATATCTGGTTCTGCTTCCACCCTAATGAATGCTATGACTATTTTAAAGCCTTCCTTTGCCTATAAACACTGGTTTTCGCAAAGTGCTGGGTAGAGATTTGGTGTTTATTCCTTCCATGTGCAGGCAAGGGTTTCTTAAGGTGGTCTCTTTTAAAAGAGATCACCCTAAGAAATCCTGGCCTCTTGGACCAGCACTGCTGTGACATCACTCCATGCAGAAAGAAGACATACGTTTTTTTCTTATTTGGGGGTGGGGGGGGGATTGTTTGTAAAATGCCTCTGTCCCTTGCTACTGGGGTAGTACAGTGATTCTCAACCAGGGAGCAAGGGCAAGCTGGAGTGCCTTGAAATCTTTTGGTGTTGGGGGATACCAGGCAACATTAGCATTGAGGTATGCAAGCAGGATTCACAAGAGATAGACCCAACCAAGGATTTCAAATAAGAATCCATGATCCATGGTGTTAAATTAATAATAATCCTACCACCTTGTGGGCTTTCTTTGCAACAAAAAAATTGCCCTGTGGATTTTCCATGGTCAAAAAAAAATTAATGCAAGCCAAGAGCTGGCTGTTTTCCAAAGGATGACCTGAGTTTCAGCCTCCAGCCTAAGAAGCCTGAGAGCCCCAGGAGCAGTAAAATATGTGCAGGCCTCTTAGCCACACACCTCTGGCCATCAAGAAGTCCTGTAGAAATGTATCTGTTCCCAGCTCTTCCCTGAGCTCCACAAAGCAGCTGCAGTCACTTCTTGGCAGCTGGGAAGGCAAAGAGAGGACAATGCCTCCTTGGAGGGTATTTGGGAACCAGCCTGTAAGGCCCGTCCCGAAAAGGGTTCTGGGAAAAGGTTAAGCTGGCATCCCAGAGTGGGGGGTCAGCTTTGCAGAACCCAGGAGCCACAGGATAATGACCTAATGCATCTGCTGTTTTTTGGGTAAGATTAGAAAGAGGAATTGCTCTTGCCTGACCCAACAGCTCTGGAAAGAGAAACTTTGAAAATGACAGCTTTGCAACATGAAACAATAGCTTTGCTCTAATGCATGAAAGGTAATAATCTTTGCCTTAATCCATAAAAGGTAACAAGGCTAGAAGCTACTTTGATTGGAGAACTCAAAGAGATAGGGAGTGGTAGTGAAGGTATGAAAGTCATGAGAACTAGGCCCCGGTGGAATCACTTCGGGGAAGGACAAGGCTGAGGACCCAATAAAGGAGACCATCTTGCTGCCCTGGATGCAGGATGGGGTTCCCGAGACAAGTCAGGCAATGACTTAGGACAGGGTGGGGAGTGCCTTTCCTCCAGCCCAACGCGCTAGCGGTTTTGTATTGAGTTGCTGCTATTAGACTATCTTGCTGTTACTCATAATAAAAGTTATACTTGTTGCTTTGACCCTGGCATGTGACTTGTGGGTTACTCACCTTCCCCGCCTGGAAGGGAGGGAGCCCTCACAATTGGTGGAGAATGTGGGCATTTAGAGACCCCACTCCTAGGGGGCAGCCTGGCCAGCTGCATCCAGGGAGCTGCAGACATGCTCACGCACCGGGGAAAAACCACAAGTCTTTCTGAACTTAGTAGGAGGGTGCATCCATGGACGTCCTCCGGGGCAAGGGACCTCAGGTTCCTTGCCACGGCTGAAGGAGTTTTTGCCCAGTGGCAGCTGGGAAGGAAGCTGGGAAAAACTGTGTTATTAAAAGGAAACTTTTAATACCGTGTTATAGCAGGTGGCAGAAGCTTTGTTGCCTCCAGAGGACTCGACTCCGGAGTTGGGGGGAGAATGACAGGTGGCAGCGGCCAATCTAGTCAGTGGCGAGGAAGGCCGACCCACTCCACCCGCTTCAGGAACGGAGGAGGAGACGGCCCCCCAGGAGAGGAAGCCCCCTCCCGCGGGGGTGGAGTTAAGTGCAGTTATGAAGCCTAGGAATCAACTGAATCAAGAGGGCAATAGGTTCACCCTATAGGACAGAGAGGTGGTCCCATGGAAGCCCACAGATTTCCACATTGAGCTGGCAGCCTGGGTAAAGGATCCAAAAGAGACCAGGGCCTCCTGGGCCAATAAGGTAGTGGCTCAGGGATCAGACAAATATTTCACTCCCTGAGAGGTGATAACTGTGTTAACCAAAAATTTTCCCAGGGGAATGGTATAAGTCAGCACAGGCCAGTCAGAAGATAGACCCGAAGCTCTCAGGGTTTTATGCTCACCAATTAGTGGGCATTGCACTAGGGACCTTGGAGGCTTGGGAATTAACCAAGGACCGGCATGCTAGAGAGCCTGAATAGATAGATTGGCCAGGAACAGTACGGCAGTTGAGTGGAGATGTATTTATCGAGGCAGCCTTGGGAGGGACCTTGGACGTGGACACCCTGTGGGTTGTAGTCACTGGGACCGCCTGGGAGATCACCATTCATAAAGGATCCAGTCCCTTACAGGGTATTCTGCCGAAGTGCTATGATGTCTGGATGAATTGTCCCCATGCAACAATTATAAAAGAACTGCAGACCCTGATTAATTTGACAGGGGAGCACCCAAAATTGAAACAAGTAGCAGTAGTATGGGGGTTGCTAACCGATCAGAAGAAAAAGATCCCCCACTGCCAACTCTGGAAGGA